AAAGGAACACATTGTTTGTCTCTGATTTTGTTATTTCCCAATTCTGTTATCACAAAACAGTTTTCAGAATGCTGCTTGCCTCTGACGACTTTCCATGTAAGTGGACAGAGAGAATGAAATGTTAGTGGTAAATTCCATGAGGTTGGTAAAGTGCTGACTTAAAGGGATTAAACAAAAAGATTACATTTCAGTAGAAGAAACTGGATAGAGATTATTGGTTCCTGATATCCAGTGCATGCAACAAATGTGGAAACATGATGGCTGGGTAATGCTGGATTTTATTGGCAAGTCTCATGTTGTAACTGTTCTGTAAAAGCAAGAGATATAAATCTCACCCAGCAGCCAATCCTGCAAACCAAAATAACTCTGTCCGGCTCTACTATCTTACATAAAGGATATTCTAATTAATTGATTTATTTTATTTATTTATCAAACCAAAAAAAAAAAACATACTAACTTTCTCATAAGCCAGATAACCTGTGAGGATCAGTAACATGTCTGGAACACGTGAATCACTTTCCCTTAGCTTAGTCCAACTGCAATCACATTTAGCATTAAAGGTCCAGTGTGTCGGATTTAGTGGCATCTAGTGGTGTAGCCGCACATTACATCTGACTCGTTTCACCCTCCCTTTCCTACAGCGAGGGAGGAAATACGATGGCTGCCTTGAACTGATTGAACTGCCAAGTTTCTACAGTAGCCCAGAATGGACAAACCACTGTCTTTCGTAGGGGTTTTTCGCAAGTTTTGTGGCCACCGTAGTTTCTCCTTCGCATCTAAAGGATAGGGTGAAGTGAGGGAGTTACAGTCTGCAGCTATATCAGTAGATGCCAGTCGGCCTACATTTTACATACTGGTCCTTTAGTATGTATGTTTTTTTTAATTATTATTTAAAAAAGATATTTTACAATTCAAAAAAAGATTTAATTATTTCATTGTTCTTTAGAAAAATAATGATTCACTAAAACGAAGAAATAAAGGTCTTAGAAATATCAGAAATAGGTGTACTTATTTTTCCTCTCGGCTGATTGGATCCATGTTTGATTGACAGCAGCTGCAGGCTGAGCTCCAGAAGAGGAACTTAAAGTTAACAAACCTGCGCTGTAGCCTACAAACCGAGGACAGTGCTTTGTTGGCAGTGGTATTGGAGAGTCAGAACCACACCAGCATCTTCATGGACTGAAGTGACAACTGCAGGTCCTGTTTAAGTGCGTCAGCGGACCTGCTAATAAGCTATCTAAGCTAGCCAGTAAACTGACGTGAGGTTCACTTTTTCCATGGGAAAGTCTGTTGGGTCGTATTTTAACAAGGTTGGGAGGTGTGTTCATGTTAGGTAAGGTGCAGACTTTAGCAGGGAACTTAATTTTAATGCTACAGTCTGTGGCTGTTGTGTTGTGTAGCAGTGTGACCATTGTTGGTGCTTCATGCAAATATTTTTCTATCTTGATGGAAAATGAAGAACAAAACGACAAAGACGTAAACGTGATTTACAGAGCAGACATGTATGCTGTAGCCGAAAAAAAAACGATTTAATTTCAGTTTAAATGACTTGTTGTATAAATTCGTAATAAGATAAAAGTGGGTTTGAAACCAGCAAAAAAAACTCTTAACTGTTCCAAAATCACCATAAAGCATGATATTAAATATTGCATTTTTAAAAATGCAATTATCAAGAGTCAAGAGACTTGTTTCTTGCATAATATAATGGGAACACAGCAATGTATTTGCATAAAAAGAAAATGTTCATTAGCTCTGAACCTTTGGCTATTGAATTATTAAAATCAGAATTATGTACTTTCACCATGCAATATAGTTAGTTCTTCAGCAGGCGCTAAGCAACATTGCCAAGCATATACCTTTTTTTTTTTTTTTTTTGTCCACCATAGTAACTGTTATGAGCCCAATAGACCTTTATTACAGCAGACTTCTCAAACACAGGTGGAACTAATGGAAGCCTTCTGCTAAGCTGTTGCAGTATCAGGAGGACTCTGCTATTAATGTTTGTTTACTGGGACACCTACATTAAATGGAGCCATCCTTCCTGTTATTAGTCTCACCTGTGCTTTCACAAGCTTTGACAAATCAAAATGTTTGCAAGGTCCATTGGCCTCTTTTTACGGAAGACATTTTGGTCACAGGAGGAACCTACTAACACTAATGATGGCTGAATTCCATTTAGCTGCTTTCAGGGTCCTGGCACTATGCATGGTTTACGGGGCCCTTTCCTGTGCGTTTTCCTACTATATTGAGCCAAAATGTTTGCTGTGAGAAAAGTCTGTGTGCTGCTTTACTCAGCTGATCAGTACTGATTACTGGACTATATTATCATTATTACAATGAGGATTTCTTAATATTCATAGTGTTAATGGGATTCTCTGGTTAAAAAAAAACCCATCAGGTGATAGGTGTGTGTTGTTCTGAATCCTAAATGAAAATATACTGTACTTTCAATCAAGAGTGGTCACAAGATGCCTAGGAAGCTAGCAGAGATTAGTTTTTTTCCAAATGTGAGTGGTAACATCATGCAGTACTCTTCATCATTTTATTGTTTTCTCGGCTTCGTTCTCAACACGATTTTGGTCCCACTTTTAGATCCACATTGTTGTATTGCCCATCTTCAAATGCAAATAACTGTGGCTCACATATCAACACCATCCCTGGCTCAATAATCAGCTTTCCCACTTTTCATGTGAATCCAATGTGATTTCAATCAGCACTCAAGCTGAAGTTTGAGTTCCTTTTATTGTCATGTGTATAAAAAATACAATGAAATGACTGCTGGCATGGCTAATCTTCTTCGATCTTTCTCTGGTTTACTGTGTGTGTGTGTGTGTGTGTGTGTGTGTGTGCGCGAATACAGTACAGTTTGTACACAGAACGCATGAGAAAATCTGATTGTGTTCTATCACTGTGATTTCACAAGGCTGGCTCAAAGCCTGTTTGTGTGTGTGCGAGTATGTCCCAAAGCTTCTGCAGCCTTTGTATTCATGGCCTATGGTCAAATCTAATTTAGCTCCGTATTTTGATTTTAATCAGTTGAAAAAATTGATTTATTTTTTTTTAAAAACTGCACCAAATCCTTGTTTTAGATCAATATTAATGTTTTTTTCCTGCTGTTCTCGCTGCCATAGTGGTAATAAAACGTTTGGTTTTTCACTGTTTGCAGTCCACACACAACAATACTTGGTTGTTTTTTTTCATTTGTAGCTTGTAAACACTGTGAGATACATTTTAACATCCATCTGAAATCATATCAAATAAAAAAAACAGAGCACTGAAATCATCAAATAAATTAAATATTTGTCTCAGTCATGTTCCAACAGTGGGATCTTTACATTGTTTGACTCATCTGTCATTTTAGCATGGGAATGCAGGTAGTTGAAAAATAAAAAAGCACTGATTGATTCTCCACTTCCAGGTGGTATTAACATGAATCATAGCAAAGATGAATTTGTTTTTTTTTTTGGATAGAATAGAGCAAAAACACACACTTTTTATGTAGATTTACTTGCACCCAAGACAATAATGACAAAGCTGCAACTCAGTTGATTGAGATAAACTGCATAGGCATTAGTTATGTATGGAATGTACTTTGGAATCAGGTTTAAATAATTAAATCTTGTCCACCTTGAATAAGCTCAACTACATGCCGAGTGCTAAAGACATCAAACATGTATGATCTAATGACAGACTTTGCCCAGTTAAGGCCCAGGTGCTACCCTCTGATGGACTAAACAAATAGCAGCCTACAGCACCAGAAGGTAAGAGGATGGGAAGGTCTTCCTCCTCTAATCTGAAAAACATTTCTGCTGTGCAAAGAGCAAATAATCATCTACAGCAGCTTAATGCTGTTTGATGAATAGTACTATTAGTTAACCATTGTTGGCTTTGTCGAAGCCTATGATGTTACATTAGAAGCAAGCAAGTGATCAGATGTGATGTTGGACTGCCTGGTGTTTAGCACTTACTGCCTGTTTCATTGGGTGCTGTTGGACTTGTGAACTATAGGAGAAACCTTTTAGACAGGAAACTTGGACTTAAGGTAGCACTTGTTGAAACTTAAAGTATTGCACTCTATGGTTATTGTATGCATGTATTATTACAAACTACTGTATGCCACATTTGCCTTGTTGTTTTGCTGTGTTTCGAACACCTCTTTGTTACCTACTTCTGTAGAAATCAGTATGTAATTCAGTGCATGTCTGGATTTTCTGCAGGTTTAAACAAGTGAATGATAGTCAGACCTGAGTCTCTGTCCATGGTGCTGAACTATGCGGCAAAATAAATGCAATGAAATACTTTTTCACTGCTATCTCTAAGTTGTGCATTACATGCAATAAATAGTATTTTGAATGTGAGAGAGGGCAATGTGTCTGTTAAACCTGTTTTCAATAGCATAGTAGGTCCTTGACATCATGTGAATTTGCCATACTTTGGTTTTTGCCGAAACAATGCGCTTCCCAGCCCGTCACAATATTACAGTTACCATGAAACTGTGCAACTTTTTAACTTTTTTGCTTTTGCTAATGTCAGTGTTTATATAGCATATAATGTATTCTGATAGCGTAAAGCTACAGAAGAGACTGTATTTACCAGAAAAATGGTGGCATTAGAGATTTGTCTAAATGCTTACAAGACCCAAGATTTATGTCCCCCAAAGCACACACACACATATCATGAACTTAAATCACACCATAATGGACCATAATGTATTGTTAGCCAAACAAAATGACAGTAGGCAATGAAAATCTACTTTAGTAATCAGTATGAACACTTCGACGTCACCACTCATGAAGATGCCACACTTCTGAAGTGCTGCTGTTGGTTAAATGCTGTATTTGGATTGTTATTTGAGGTTATCTGGATCCTGTCCAAACCTCGCTGCAACAACAGATCACACTATAGGACACTATACAACATAATCATAGGAAGCATCAGGAAAGCTTGCACTGCTTGCTGTTATCTCTAACTTTGTCCCCACTATGTCCTGTTTTCTTAAGGTGAAAGTGGAGAATAGAGAGATGAAGACTTTATCCTTCCTCTTCCTCCTCCTCCTCCTCCTCGCCTCAGGAGCCTGTGACGGCGTCAAGTACATCTCCAAGAGGAACTCAGGTAGGATGAACAGCCTTAATGTTTGTTGCCTACAGTGGCACTCCAAGCTGTGACATTTTGCTGAAAATGAGCATTTCTTTCGTTGAACGTTCCCAGGCTTTGTCTTTATTGAGGTTTTTGTCTCTAACTGAAATTCACTTTGTTTTTGTTTTTTTGTTTCACTGTCATCCTTTTTCATCGCAAACAATTTTTTCAGTTTTACTTGAATAGAGAGATAATGCTACCTCTTGTCTTTTCTCATCTGCTCCTCCTCACTCTTATATTCTTGCTGTCAAATACATGCTCCTGCTCTTATTCCACAACTATTCCCTCCAATCTTGTACTTTCTGATGCTTTGATATCTCTTAACTTGACGCAATGGATATGGACTTCTGTTTTATTCTAGCCATTTCTTTCTTTTTCACAGTCACCATCTCTGCCTTTCTTAGCTAACACATCTCTCCAAACTCTATCTGGGAGCTCGGATAGCTGTCTGTCTCTTTCCTCTCCCCTTTCTGCTGAGGGTGTGTAATGATCAGCCTGTCTGACTGTCGCTGTCATTGTTGCTGCTGTTGTGCTCATTTGTGTATCAACGTCCAGCTGATGACGGATCTGCTGATGGCCTTTTATTTGGGATCGATTTGTTGTGTCTCGCTGATCGGCTTGACAGAGAGAGTTTGATTGGGCTATTGATGTTTGGCATGCGGTCTCAATAAAGCTTTGTATGATACTGTATAATGGGTTTAGTATGTGTGACATAGAGGTGAGCTATACATTCCCCCACTTAGCTTTGTTTACATATAGACACATTGTGCTTCAGTTTCCTGCTGCCTTTGTGTTTAAATAGCATCATTCATGAAACAAAAAATATCTGATCTGCAGGTTCTGTAATTATAGAAATTACTACCAGCATTTGTAATTTGTGTCATGCACCCCTGCCAAATCCTGAAAGTGATAAAAACACAGAAAATTACTTACAGACTTTTTAGCAAACTCAGGTCATCTAATTATAACAATCCAGTTAGAATTGATTCCCCTGTAATGTAATCCTGTCTCACATTTTTTCTTGCTTATAAGTGAGAGTGTAGGTCCTGGCTGTATAATTGAGGGAGTTTAGGGCAACCATAACAATCCTTTAGAGGTTCTTTGTAATTACACACACAGAGTCTAAGAATTACATTACAGGGCTTCATGGCTACTGTAAAAATACCAGAGTTCCAGTTTTAAAGGCCCCCCAAAAAATATATTTCCTCAATCAGTTTCTTGTTGAGAGCAATGGGATCCTACTTGAACACTTCTGAGTTTGGCTTTTTGGGTTGATTTCACATTTCTGGAGTTGTGCTTTGTCTCTGTGCTCTTTTCCCTGGTTTGAGGTAGGTGGGGCTCAGTTGGAAAAATGGTGAAAGGACCAGTCAGGTTTGAGTAATATTCAAATCCAAATCTATCACTGTCAGTCATATCTGATTAAACCACACCGACACAGTCCTGAGTTTTTCAGTGTTCAACTTACTCTCAGGTCTTTATGATGTAGATGAAGCTACAGCCAGCTGCTGGTTAGCTTAGCTTAGCTTGAATGCTAGAAACTGTTAAAAGTGACATAATCCACCTTTTCTAGTTAATTCAAGCAACCAGTGTAGACTCCAGGAAGTGACTGTTTCTCCAAGAAATAGTCCAGCACATCACCTTGTTTAAAATGAATATGTTCCAGTTATTGTGTTAAGCTAAGGTAAGTAGCTGCTGGCTCACCTGTACAGACAAAATATTATCAATTCCCTCATCTAACTCTCAGCAATGAAGCGAATACAAATATTTACTAAAATGTCTAACTATACCTTTAATAAATTATACCTGAAGCTGCCTTTTTAAACTAGATTGTTTCTTCTTTAGTCATGAATATTTGACTGGATAGAGAAATACTTAAAATTTGACTGCTAGTGGTAGTAAGACACGTTATGTTATGTAGGATTCCTCCTTGTAGGGAAATTCTGTCCTCTCTTGACTTCCTGAAAAAGGAGGTCGGAGGTCACGGTCAACTACAAAACAACAGCCCTGCAGCTGGCAGGGATTTATTGATGTGGACAGTTAAGCAGAAACTTGCCAAAATGTCTTCCAGGCCACCCCGACACCCACACAAAGTTCTCTTCATGTAGTAAAACTTCTGTGCTGCAATATGAAATAGAAAAGTGATTTATTTTGAATCAGACAAAAAAAACCAAAATGCAATATGTAAAAATAACACACACAATTTAGTTGAATTTGTTATTTTGGGAGAGAACATCCGTTATTGTAAAGCATAGCGAGGGTCAGTACCAGAGTGTTTGCTACACTCTTTTCTCAGTCGCATCTTTTACTTTCTCTTCTCTCCCCCTTTTCTTTTCTGCATGTCTGTGTCACTCTCTCACAGTCCATGCTCTGACTGTGTGGGTGAGCTGGTGGGAGTTTCTGTTTGGTATTTGCCGTTTAGGTGTGTGTGTGTGTGTGTGTGTGTGTGTGTGTGTGTGTGTGTGTGTGTGTGTGTGTGTGTGTGTGTGTGTGTGTGTGTGTGTGTGTGTGTGTGTGTGTGTATGCTCGCAGGCATACCTACATGTGTTAACTGTCTGCTTCATGCCATATTGAACAGTGACTGTGTGTGTGGGTGCTGTATAGATCCAGGTTTTAAGTGTGTGTGTGTGTGTGTGTGTGTGTGTGTGTGTGTGTGTGTGTGTGTGTGTGTGTGAACTCCCTAAGTGTGCTTCAGTGTATGCTCTCTGGGTATGTGCTCTCCTTCTGTGTATGTGTGTGTGTGGGAGAGGTGCGCACAGAGCAATTATGTGATCAGAGCAGAGCCAAGCGGACATTTATGTGGGCGACCGCTACAGTCGGCCAAAGATAGGCTGTTAGATCTTTTCTCTCCCTCACTGCTTGCGTGTGTGTGTGTGTAACTGGACACCATATGGATAGGAACTACCATTTCCTATTGTCAGTCTCCCACTGTGCTTTGATGCAGCATCCGCTGCAGCTAAAGGGAACAAACTGTGATGAGACACAACAAACAGAAAGGTGTAGGTAGGTGAGGAGACGCTTTAAAGTGTTTTGTATTCAGATCAACACATGAATAATAGAAAATACATTGACAAAGTGATACTATATTTGATCGTTGTGGGGAAAGCCTTGCCTGGCTTTACACGGGGGTCATGGGTCAGTAGCTGTATGTACCATCAACCCTGAAGCTGGTCAGATTCAGTGCCTTGCTCAAGGACACTTGAGCAGATGTTTGCTGTCAAGAGTGTTTCTCACACTGGCTTCTCACACTAAAATACCCTGATACACAAACATACACAAACAAAGCAAAGTAAGGCAAAGTAAATGATAGATAAATGGACATTTTCGTGTGTGTGTGCAGACATGTTGACGATCATCCATCTTAGCTCCAAATGGAGGTTGATTGTTAAGAATGCACATTACAACTCGTAGTAAACAAGCTTGCAAGATGCAATGCAATGAGAAACAATGCAATGTGTGATTGTAATATATTGCAACTAGTAGTGAGTAACTGCAGTTGTGTGGATGTGTAGAATTTGTTTCTTTGCTGTCTTTTCCTCTCAAGCCTCATTCACACCCCCAGTGTGCTGAGTGTTCCATTGCAGGGAGTCTTATTCCTGCTGCAGTGCACATACAATACACCCTTTGGTTGAAATATTTCAGCATTTTAGTTTCAGCTCCTCCATCACGTCAGTGTCTGATCACACAATTTGATCTATGCTTTTTTATCTGAAAGTTTATTCTGATAAAACCCACCAGTCTTCTGGTAGAACATCTGTTTTAACTTCTGTTCAGTTTGAACAGTTTTACATAGTTGTTGTTGCACATTTTTAAAGTTTTGTATGAGGAGGTTGTGAGACTGAATTCTAATTGGAGGCTACAGGCATGAAACATGTTATGATCTACTGACATTGTTTGAATGATTTAGAAACATATTTATCTTATGTTGCAGAATTAGGATGTAGGACATTTCTTATAGTGTAGTATTATGGCATGCCGTTTAGGAAATTATTCTTTGAATATATGGAATGAACCTTGAATATATGGAATGAATCTTTGAATATATGGAATGAAGCATGGATATACTGATAAGAAATTGAGAATACTGAATGAAATTCAAAACCTAGTTGTATCCTTTTAATCAACGTGATAGCCTTCTGAATTTGCTGGTTTTACCAAATGGCATCAGTTGAAATATTCCAATACTTTCTTGAACTGGAAAACTTTTTTGCTACATGTTGTACTCCAAATGACACTAACAGTTTGGAGACTATATCGCGTCACCTTGAGGATCATATTTCCATTATTGCGACATTCATAGTGCTTATGAGTAATAATGTTCAACAAAACATTGCCGAAAGAACATTATGCGTCATTCTTGAAAGAATTTACGATTCTCTAAGGGAGATGTTGGCGGAAATAACATTAGGGTACGGGTACTATCAGGAGGATTTTGGCCCGTACAAGCACTTGCCAATGAGTTAATAATGTCCTCATTGCTCAGTATTGCTGCCACAAGGTTCCGAGCTGACTGACTCATTCTCACTTCTACAAGATGGCAGCAGTGCCTTGATGAGGTTAGTCAAGGTTCATTCCATATATTAAAGAATTCATTCAATATATTCAACGTTCATTCCATATATTCAAGGTTCATTCAATATATTCAAGGTTCATTCCATATATTCAAGGATTCATTCAATATATTCAAGGTTTATTCCATATATTCAAGGTTCATTCAATATATTCAAGGTTCATTCCATATATTCAAGGTTCATTCCATATATTCAAGGATTCATTCCATATATTCAAAGATTAATTTCCTAAACAGCATGCCATATTATGTATATATATATATGAAATTTAAAACATTTAAAATATCTTAAAGTTTATATTCCAAATATTTGTGTTTCTTATCTTAACCATCCCTATTTGATGTCTTTTTCTATTTATTGTTATTTATTGTACACGGCATTAGCACAGTCTCAGCCACCTAGCTTTTC